ACCCCCACCTTGCCACAGTCTCCTTCCTGAGAGTTGCAGTGAGCAATGAGGTCTTGCCTGAGATGTACCTCTGTCCTCCTGGGCTACAAACTCTTTCTTATCCTGTTTCTCTGAGTCACGACCCCTCCACCCATCCCTCCCTGTCTTCTTGCAAAATGCAGTCCAAATCAAATTTCCTTGTGTGCCTGGTGCTTTGGGGTGAAGGTTGCTGTGGTGTTCCCAGTTGGAGGTGGCACAAGGAGTGATGTTTTGGTGTGGCATGGCTCTTCTGCTGGGGGCTGCCTTTCTCTCCTGCTAACACTTAGCCATAGAAGTCATGGGTAAGTAACACCAGTAGAGTGTTTATATAGGTAACGAAATGGAAAAGTCAAGTTTTGGAGGTGTGTAACTAAAAAATAATAGAGAGATATGTTTGGCTGGACCAATGCATTTCACCTCAACTTCTTTCTTCCATCCTTTCCTTTGTCTTTTCTTTTCTCCTTTAAATCTATTTAAGTTCCTGTAAGTAAAGTTAGAAAGATTAATGCCATCTTGAAAAGAAAAGCAGAAATCTTTTACTTAGCAAAATGCAAATGTGAAAGTTTGCCTTCCATCTCCCCAGATTACTTTTTAAAACCAGGCTTTCAAGAAACCCATCCCAAGCTCACCTTCAGTGGCAGCTCCAATTCTGCTTTTCTAAGCTCATTTCTTGCAAAAATATGGACGGATGGAGTCCCCCCTTAGTCCCCAAACTCAAACCCAAGCCCTTTCCGAATAATAGTTATACTATTGTGTGCAAAGCCCTGAAAATGGTTCGCTTAAGTTCTATTTGGCCATACCTTGTTTCATAGAAGCATCTGAGGCCCATACCTCTTTGCCAGCTCATTTGTTGACTTCTTGCAGGTACTGCAAGTGGTGTCTCTGGTAGTTAATCTCATTTGCCATGTAGTTCAGCAGGGCCAGAAAGGAGGGATGCACACAAAAGCATTATTAGCATCTTATTTGGCTCTTAGTGGATAGAAACGATGCAAGGTTCTTTTGGCACAGTGGTACTTTTTTTCTCCAAAAAAAAAAAAAAAAAGAGGAAAAAGGACTTTAATTGAAGCCTGCAATGTTGTATAAATGGAAGATCTAAGTTTTAATTGAAAAATAATTATAACCACTTAATCATTTTAAATGAGGGCTGTAATTGCAGTCAGTTCATAATAGCCAAATACAGACACTTAGATTCCTGCAATAAAGCAGGGATGGTACAGCTTGATTTGCTAATAGCTCTTCCACTTCTCTCCTCTTTTGTCTCAAAGATTAATTCAGGCAAGGGCTATTAGTGCCGTTAATTGGTTCTGCAATTTAGACCTTGTGCTTGTGAATGAGTGACTGATGCAGACCTATCAGCCAATAATGTGAACACTTTGTCAATGTGTTTCTCATTGTCCGGCTGAACATCGCTCCCCAGCAGCTCCTCTGCCACCCAGCCTCAGCTCCCCAGGGGGATCAAGAAGAGTGAGTCTCCTCCGGGGTGAGGGATTCACTTAGCTTTAGATAGGTCACCGAGATGTCTTTGAAGCTATGGCTGACTTATGAATAAAATAATTAAGCAGACAAGGCATCCTCCTTGGCGGGGACGAATCCTGTATTCAGGAGAAATCTTGACTGCCGTGCTGGAGGAAGGAGATTCAATGGGACTGTGAAGTTGAAAGATGGAGAGCAGATGCTGGTGGTGAGAGAGGGCCATTAGCTCTGGGCAGGATCCAGGATCCTCCTTCTTCAGGGCAATAGTGATGGCTGTAGCCAGACTAACTTACCGTGGGCACAGTCAGAAGAACAAATACTGCTCTATAATGGGTGTTATTTTTCACCTGGACATTGAGGGTGGTGAGGACACTTGGGCTAACTGGAGAGGCAGTGCCAGCATAAGCTCTTGGAAGAACACCTTCTTTGAGCTCAGCATATCCGTTCTATGGGAGACAACAGACTGAGAAGGGAATGTGCCACTTAGTCTGCACCAGAATTAGATGCAGCTTTAGGCCCAGAACAATTTTAATCATGGGTAACCTTCTGGTCCCACCAGTTCTCCAGTGTGCAGGAAGATTGCGTCTATTTGGAGATGTAAGGTGAGGGGAAAATCAAACAGCCACTTAATTTTGGTGGTGCAAACAAATGGTGCAACAAGCACATGAATATTCCCAGGCATATCTTTGTGCTTTCGTATCTTTTGTAGCATCAAAAGACGTTTACAAGTGGTGTGCTTCTGCAGAGTTCAGCTCTAGAGCTGAACTTTTTATCTGGAGAGGAGATGCTGGGAGATCTTTGACCTTATGGAGGTGTTTTTATCTCTTGCAATTTTTCTTACTGGAGGTGACAACTATTGTGAAGTGGTTTAGACTGTCATCCTTCTATTTTTCAGAAATAAACTTGGTGATTTTATAGCTGAAATCTGAACAGACCCAGGGAAAAGACTGGGGCAAGCTTGGTTTTTCTGTTTCTTCTGTTAAGAGAAGTACAAAAAGTGGAGAAAATCCACCCTTCATCCTTCCTTTTGTTTTTCTTTTTCTTCTGGTATTTTGATTCTGCTCCCTTAAAGTGATGGAAAGTGCCTGCCTTTCATACCAAGCCTCCTCCTCCCTCTGTTTGCTGGAAAATGGCTCAGCCCTCACTAGGGGAAAAAAATGCCTTCTAGAAATAGGATTTTATGGGAAACCCAAGTAAGGCAGGATGTACTGGGAATTCAAGGAGGAAGGGCTCGGATGAGAGGTGCAGGGAAAGGTGGGCAGGGGTGGGGAAGCGGCAGCAGCAAGAGCCCAGAATGGTGGTGGATTCTGCTGCTGATCTGGGAGAGAGTTGTGGATGGCACTTCAGAGCAAGAAACAGCTGTTAAAGGTGCTGGTGAGCTTCGAGCAGGAGAAGAAGTGGTACTCTCACATCAAGTCAGTAGGCTTAAGTTGGTTGAAGGAGTTCAGTCCTTCACTATTCTCACGGTGAAATAGATTTAATCACGGTCAGAAGATAAAACTGTCCTTCTCCTTGCAGTGTTGCTCATTCTATTTGTGAATGGTGCTACCCACACACCTGCAGCTGCCTAAAGTGGCAGAGGCATTGAAACAGATGGAAGGAGGCTCAGCTGACATCTACCCCTTTGCCTACATACAGGTTTTCTGTTAGTACACATTCTCCAGCCTCACAGGTAGGTCAGATGCAAGGCGAATCTAGCTTTTATCCAATTTATTCAAAGCAATCTCCATCTGCCATGGGCCTTTCCTGTCGCCAGGCAATGTGGTTGTGACAAACACACTGAGTGTATTTGCGCTCCAGTTTTAGGCTCTATATTTGGATATGTGATACCAGAAAAAGCTTTCTATGATTAACTCTGTTGACTGATACCAAGAGTAACTACAGCCGTGACACGCAGCAGTTGAGGTGTGTCACCAGGGCTGGGTATTGCTATGTCCAAAAAGGGTCTGGGAGAGGCAATTTTGAAAATGAATGTGAAAACAAGGAAAGTAGAGCAATAAAACGTTAAAACCAGTGGACTGTTGATGAGACAGACATCTTCTGTCTCTGTCTAGTTTGCAGTACTGCTTTTCATGCACAATGTGGAACAAAATCCAGGACTTAGGATAAAAGTGATGTTTGAAACTCTGGGATAAATTATCCTAGATGACATCTACTGTGTGGATGCTCTCCAAAGGCAGGACAGATCTTCATGGGAAGTAATGTTGTGTGGGGTGTGGGAATGGATTGGATGGCATTTCAAGGTCCCTTTTAGCTCCACTTCTTCTACCAGAGCCTGCAGGTGCCCTGTGTGAGCCTAGCACTGCCAAGGCAGGGCTTGTCCATCCACTCCTTTGCTGAGAGCAGCTCTCCTGGAAGATCCCCAGCTTGCAAGTCAGTGCCCATGGTAAGGTTTGGAAGGGAGTAGTGAAGGATATAGCAAAAGGTTCAAAAAAGACGCTGCCCAAAAAAGCATGTCTCTAGGACAGATCTTCAAGATGCTTTTGCCTTAAAGCAACACCTAGTGCCGTAGCTGCTTTATCCTGATTCTTCTTCCATCTAGACAGGTCCAAATTCAGGTTTGTATGAGAGGGAGAAAGCACTGAAGAACCAAAGGTGTGCCCTAATTCTATCTTTTTGTTCCTTTAGACTGGTTGTCAGGCATGGTCAAGCAGTAGAGTGAACCCTTTCTGTTCCTCTTACAGCAGCATGCAAGTTCATGCCATTCACTCTTTGCTAGCTACTGCCCTTCCCTGGGACCCAGCCTGGCCTCACGACTCACTGAGCTCCGTGTGAACATCTGCCTTTTGTGATACACTACCCTCTTTTACAAACTACCATTTGCTTAAAGCTTTCGGTGGAGCAGGAGGTCGTAGTCAGGCCCATGGCCATGCTGGGCAATGCTACAGGGGGTACAGGTACCTGGGAGCAGGTCTGATTTGTGTAGTGAGGTGTCACATCTCCAGCCATGCTGAGCATGGTCCTGGCCACGGTGCTCCTCAGCTCCTCACCAGTTGAGAGCTTTGTCTGACATGTATTTGCAAACATCCCCCAGATAAAGGCATGCTAATAAATGCTTCCCTACTTGATTTGGAAGCATCATCCCTGCCAGAAGAGGATTAGGGTTTTGTATCTATAGCATCTAACTGAAGTGTCTTTGCCCCTGGCCTTCTGGGGCATGCAGGTGTTTCTGCAGAAGGTCCTCTCTGCCTGTTTCAAAGGGACCTGCTGGTCCTCATCTGCCCATGCTGTCTGCACCTCTGTTTCGATGTAGAAGGTAAACAGAGAGCGAGGCATTCACACCGTGTGCAACCAGCAGCCCTTGGTACCGGGTGAGGGAAGTTATCTCACCGAAACAGATAAAGGGAAAGGGTAGGTTTGTATGGTGCAGGCCAGGCCTCTACTGACTCCCATCCGTGACGTAGGCTGTGCCTCCAGCTAAAAGTCCCTTCTGCCCTGGCTGCCTGCCCCAGAGCCAGCTTGTGGAGGCTTGCGCGCACTGAGGACCTGCCTAGCGAGCAACCAGCACCATGTCTGTCACCATATGCCAGTCCATGGGCTTCGTGGTATCAGCCTTAGGAGTAGGAGGAATCATTGCATCGACATGCATGGATCAGTGGAGCACCCAGGACCTGTACAACAACCCGGTGACGGCGGTGTTCAACTACCAGGGCCTGTGGCGCACGTGTGTCCGCGAGAGCTCCGGCTTCACTGAGTGCCGCGGTTACTTCACCATCCTGGGGCTGCCAGGTAGGACTTGTTTGTGCAGAGAACATCTGCCTCGCATCGTGGTTGCCTGTTGCTGTGGTTGAGTGGTGGGTGATATTCAGAGCAGAGAGGGGATCCCAGGTTTCAGCCTAAAGGGACTTGGGTTGATGGCTCTGTTTGGAAGACAGGTCCTTTGGAGGCACCTCAATTCCCGTGGCCAGGCTGGGTTTTAGGAAGGCTTTTTACAGCTCACTGCAGTTTAGGTGTTGGGGCAATGCACTGGGGCTGACTTGGATAGCACTCACATCCAGATGAACAGTGCACAAGGCTTCCCACCAGAAACACTAATGTCCTTGGGACTGGAGAATGCCCTTCTGAAAGAGCTGTATCACAATTTAACTCACTGTCTTCCTGTGTGGGCTAACACCACCAGGTTGGATTTCTCACTAATTCTTCTTCAGTTACAGTTAACTGTATTCCTTCCGTGGGTATCATTCTCATCCCATTTGTGCCCAGAGAATCCAGGACCATGAGCAGTTAGGTTATGACAGGACTGTCAGGATTTCCTTCTCACCCCAATATACCAAAGAAAGGGGCACTTGGGCTGTTCTATCCACCTGCTCTGTGCTTTGACATGTTAAGAATGAAGGAAAGAAGCCAGTGATGTCAGCAGATACTGCAGAAGATCTACAAAATTGTATTTCCAAAGTAGGAACAAGCACTGTGCACAAAAATAGCTTTGTTCATATGATGTCTAACCAGACATCACCACATAATCCATCTCTGGATCCTTCTTCCCAACCAATTCCTGCCTGGAATCACCTGCATGGATGCTCAGGACCTTCAGGTGCCAAGGGCTCTGCCCCTCCCAAATATTTTCCTAAATGTTGGGATTTCCATTGAACTGTTTGCTTGTAGAGTCCACAGAGCTACTGGGTAAATCGCTGCATGGAATTTGCTGGGTTTGTTGTAGTCACTGACGGGAAGGAATTTTAAAAGCTCAGTGAATAAAGAACAAATTTCAAATACAATGGTGGGTGAGATCCTGAAGTTGCAGTAAAAACCTTCAGTGCTGTTGGGGAATTATTCTTGCTTTCCTCACCAGTGTGTAGTATGTAAATATTTATGGGCTTTTGTCCCAATGAACTGGTTTCTGCAACCACTGCTAGCTGCACTGCCCTACAAAATGAGGTGGTTTTTTCCTTTCTTTTTAATAAGCAGGGCTAGCTCTTTTTTCTGAAGTCCATGCTCTCCCCCCTTTCCCCTCCTGTTATATATCACCTGACACCGCCAGTCTCTGGAGAAGCTGGTGCAAAAATAAGCTCTATGCTGCTGGGCTCCATCCCCTGCATTCATCTGCTCTTATGGGCACCTCGTCCCTCTCTCCACCAGCAAAGGACAGCTGTATCCCAGCCAGACGGGGACAAAAAATGATGCTAAAGATCAAATTTGCTAAGAAATTATTTAAGAGGATTGTCAAGTTGTTTATTTTAACCATGCTGTACCTTGATCTCCATTAAACGCCCCTTGCTAACCTCACCGTAGTTAATGGTTTGTCAGCATTTCCATTATAAACCCCTATTTATTATTCTGACAATGGCAATTTATATTGGGAACAATAGTGCTGGAGTGAATAAAAATAATAGGACTCCAGCAGAGCAACGAGGTGACCTGAGTACATCGATGAAGTTTTGGTTTCTGAAGAATTCTTTTTTTCAATCCCTCCCTCCCATAGCAAAGATTAAACTTGCCTTGCCCGTCATCCATCTTCAATTTAGTTGGGGAATTTTAATTTCAAATAGATTGAGGAAAAATCAAGATAATAGATGAAAATGAGAAATAACACGGGTACATGATGGCTCTTTGCCTTTGCTGCTTGGCTATAAAGAGTCAGTCTCTGGTGAAATATGTCGCTTGAGATCTAAGCCTGTTTGTTCTGATTTTGCTTTATTTATTTATTTATTCATTTTTGCTGCCTGCTTTGGTGTGTGGGCAGTCCTTACTGTGGTTGTCTGGAGGACATGATGTGAATTAGAACATGAAGTCGTAGAGAAATAGTAGTAGCAGAGCGCTGGTGAAGCTGATTATTTCACCTATTGCAGAAGTCACATTTTCTGCAAAAAGAAGAGTTTTTTTTCAGTTACAGGTCTATTAAGACTGTATATAATAGACAATAATAGACTTACAGGTCTATTAAGCAACAGTAATCCGGTCAGTAATATCCCTCTCGTCTGCCCCGCTCTCTTTTTTCCAGACCTGTTCAGCTAGAGCTGTTTGGCCATTTCTGAAAGGGCGTTTTGTTCTTGAGGCAAAGCCCCTTCTGACATCCCAGGATATCTCTTGACTCTGGAACAAATGGCCGTTGACTTAAAAAATAAGACTATTTTAGTTTTTCCAAAAGCAAACTTTGAGTTCGAGAGCACCCCATTAAACTTCTGTAGCTGGTAACTCTCTGTGACCACGTATGCTTTCATGTTGGGATTTCTGCATCCTTTCAAAGTTCATTTGGACTTGTTATAAACTCTATGCTATCAAGGGGCTTTTTGTGTCTTGGATTTGTTTCCAATTAATGACGTTTTGATAAGGTTTTCTTTTAGGATGTACGCAATCAACACACATTTTTTGACATAGCCCTTGCAAAAACCTTGCTCTATGTCTTTTTTAATTCTTTGGAGATTGCTTTCTGCTGGACAGTCGTTTGGATGGGGACTGCTAAGTGCTGTGTCACAGTTCTCCACTGTCAACGGCCATGGCAAAGTCCCTCCAAAGCTCTACTTGCTGCTTTAAATTCTTCAGCCCAATTGGCTTATCTCCACTTTTTGAAATATCTGCCAGCAACCATCCTAACCAGCTTCACACACAGAGAAGTTTAGGTGTCCCCTTTCCTCGTTGATTTTCAGGAAGGCCAGTCAGCCCTTCTGCCATAGACAGGTGGGTCACGTACTTTTGGAGGCTGTGGTCACCAGAAAAGTGGCAGGACAGAAAGAAAAGGGTGGGTTTTCTTTGTTTCATTCTGAACAAGCTGGAACTGACCGGCAGGGTGTGAGCTATATTTGCAAATTTTAAAGTAAATATGAGCTGTAGGTGATTTTTAGGGGAGAGGCAGTGATAACATTCAGGAGTTGCAATGGGCCCAGTGGACGCTTTTGAGATAATCCAGGGCTGACGCCTGGGTAGATAAAGCAAGAATGAGCTGAAGAGGGGAGTGGTCAAAAAGTAGCCTTCCTTTTCCTAGTTTGGTATCCTTCTGTGAGCGCCCCCACATTCCGAGTGGGGGGAAAAAACACGTTTCTAATTTCTTGATGGGAAGCTTGGTCTTTGCAAGAGAAGTTCTCTCCATTGTGTCCCTTCCTCAGACACTGCTCATCATCACTACACAGCCAGCCCTCTGACCCAAGCATTAAGCCAACTTGCTGGAAACTGAAAAATAGCTCATACTCTCAGAAATATGGCCTGGATTTTGGGTGGTGCTGTGTGGAGCCAGGAGTTGGATTCCATGATCCTTGTGAGTCCCTTCCAAATTAGGATATTCTGTGCTTCTATGACCTTAAGGAGGTCCATGCTCTGAGTCTTTCACCTTTCAACCACTGGCTATAGACATCTATTGAGAGTGGCTGGAGGTGTATATCAGGTTGTGGTAAAGACACTGAGACATGCTCTACAGCTTCCTGTCACCTAACCATTCCTCAGGCTGTGCACTGAGCCAACAGTTCAGATAAAACCACCAGCTTATAGAATTACAGAACGGCTTAGGTTTGAAGGAAAACTTAAAGCCCCTTGAATTCCAACCCCTGCTGTGGGCTGGCTGCCCTCCACCAGGTCAGGCTGTCCAGAGCCCCATCCAACCTGGCCTTGAGCACTTTCAGGGAGGGGACAACCATAACTTTTCTGAGCACCTTGTTCCAGTTCTCACCTGTCATTGGGCTGGGTGCTGGAAAATGGAAAATGGCACTATGAGTTTCTTGCAAAGGGAATTTTTCTCCTGTCACGAACGGCTCAGAAACAAGCACATTGCATTTGGGGAAAATAAGCCAGGAAAACAGGTTTATGGCTTTTTTGTCCATAATTTTGCTACAAATAACCACTAAGGAAAGTACTTGTGAGAGCATTGTGTCCCTGGTCTTTAGGAGCACAGTGTTAATCAGAGCATGAGAAATGGCAAGCAGCTAACATTGGGCTGGCTGGATAGCAACTTAGGCAATACACTTAGCAATGAGCAAATAGAAACCTCTCCAAAAAGCAAAAATCCTTCAAACACAGCAGTGTCTGGAGTGTTGAGCATGGCTGGGCATTCATTTGTTACTCAGATCAAGGCTGCAGCACAACCTTTGTTTCTGAAGATGCTTGTTCAGCTCCGTTTTCTGAAGGAGAACATGCAAGAATCTGAGAGAAAATGCATAATCCTGTTCTGGTTAGAACTCTTCAGAGCCACGATTCAATTTGGGCCCTCAAAATCGGAGGCACATGGGGTTCATCCGGGCATTTTTGCACAACTAGAGGCTATTGGGGATAGTCCTGTGGTGCTCCTCTGTTCCAAGTAATTTTGAAGGCCCTGAGTGGTGGTGATGATGATGATGATGAGAAATAGCATTCCCCCATCTGCTGGAGAAAACTGCATCCCCAAGGGAAGGTTAGTGAGCCAGCACTGTCTGGTGGCAGACCCCGAGGAGAGGACACAAATAGGGACAATCTGATGGACTGTGTGGAGTGGGAGATGGGGCCTGGGGATGTGTAACGGTGGGGAGAAGGAGAGAATTTTCTTGTTGGCTCAAAATGCCACTCCAGCTGCACGCAACTGAAACCAGCAGAAAGGGTCAGAGGAAGGAGTGGTTGCTCCCCTCCCGGCAAAGCAAACACAGGGACGTGGTGTGCAGGAAGGCCATTCCACCAAGGAACTGGAGCTTTCCTTGGGAAAAATGTCTTGGAAATATTACTGGTACCTTTGCATTTCCTCCACTTTTTTTCACCCCATCCAAAGGTTATCTTTAGCTGTGACCAGCCCTTCAGGCCTTTTTTTTTTTTTTTTCCTGAAGCCCTAAAAG